ACTATTCGGACTTTTGTTGGCAAGGTGATGTCTCTGCTTTTAAAGATGCTGTCAAGGTTTGTCATAGCTTTCCTCCCAAGAAGCAGACGTCTTTTAATTTCGTGGCTGCTGTCTCCATCTGCAGTGATTGTAGAGCCCAAGAAAGTAAAATCTGTCACTGCCTCCATATCTTCCCCTTCTATTTCCCAGGAGGTGATGGGACCAGTGGCCATGATCTTAGTCTTTTTGATGTTGAGTTTCATACCATTTTTTCCGCTCTCCTCTTTCACCCTCATCACAAGGTTCTTTAATTCCTCCTCACTTTCTGCCATCAGAGTGGTATCATCTGCATATCGGAGACTGTTGATATTTCTTCCGGCAATCTTAATTCCGGTTTGGGATTCCTGCAGTCCAGCCTTCCGCATGATGTATTCTGCATATAAGTTAAATAAGCTGGGGGACAATATACATCCTTGTCGTACTCCTTTCCCAATTTTGAACCAATCAGTTGTTCCATATCCAGTTCTAACTGTTGCTTCCTGTCCCACATATAGATTTCTCAGGAGATAGATAAGGTGGTGAGGCCCTCCCATTTCTTTAAGGACTTGCCATAGTTTGCTATGGTCCACACAGACAAAGGCTTTTGCGTAGTCAATGAAGCAGAAGTAGATGTTTTTCTGGAACTCTCTGGCATAAACGTAGTGGACCCAAATATCAAGTTTACCGGGGAAGACACCAAAGACAATTGGCTGGCTTTCCTGGACTGTGCAGTCATCATAGGATCCAATGGCAGCTTAGGAAAGCCTCCCCTGATGATCTTAACTCTTGGGCAGGATCATAAAGCGAGATGGGATCCTTGAGATACTTGGCCCCAAGCTGTTTAGGGCTTCATAGGTTAGAACCATCACTTTGAAATCTGCCCAGAAACGGATTGGCAGCCAGTGGAGCTGCTGTAAAAGATTTTTCCCCTTTGATTCTCTCTCTCCAGCACTCACTGATTTAGTTCTTTTACCTGACCCTCTTTTGAACTTTCTATGTATGCCTTCAGGACATGACAGATGAAGGATTGATTGATTCTACAGGAAAAGCAAACTCCTTCCTCTTGTGTGGCTTCCTATAATTTTATATACTATATGATACTCAGTTCCTTTGTTTTCTTTAGACAGGAGAAAGGTAAGGAAGCTTCTCTGTCCAACAAATTGCATCAGAGCACAGACAGAGTTCTGACTCCTGTCCTCTGAAGATGCCGGCCACAGAGACGGGTGAAACGTTAGGAAGAACAACCTTCAGAACATGGCCAAACTGCCTGGAAAACCCACCACAAGCATCGGATGAAGGCCTCCAGCCCGAAAAACCCACAACAACCATCGGATGAAGGCCTCTGAGAATACTTCTCTGTCCTATCTGAGACTAATTACAATTAGTTTTTTTTATATTTTAAAAAACATTTTTGGAGAATGCTAAAACACACATCTTGAAATTTTTTTAAAAAAAACTGAAAATTACAAATGCGCCGGACTCCACATAACCTCCCTATATACCTAGGCAGTGTGGTAGAGCACTGGCGGGGGTGGGTGGGGACTAGAGATAGGTATGGTTGGGAGTTTGATTCTCCACTCCCACCCCACTGTGCCTCCTGCAAGTAGACCCAGCCTGAGTTAGAGCTTAAAGGGACCCTATGGATCATTGAGGATAGTATGTATATGGTACACTTTAGAACAGATTCTGGTGCGTTTACTTAATACTGTAACCAGGGAGGGCTTTAGTAGAGATCGAGGATTTACGAGACTCTTTACGAGGCTGAAGGTGGCTGGATAGCCCAGT